AATGAAGCACGTAAGAAACTACTGTGCTTGAGCTACCTACTAACCCAATATACGGGAACACCTAAAACGAGAAACAGGTTTTCTTATAGTGAGTATAAAGCATGAGACCTGTATCCTAAAGTAACTAAGACCTTCTTTATACTAACCAGAAGGGAAGACTGGGTAACTCTACAAATAGATAATCCTTCGAAAAGTAAGAAACACAATCATGCAACCAATTTCACAATCCTTATCCATTGTTTATCGGCTTAAAGTAACATTAAACCCTCAGATTTTTTAACATAAACCAATAGTGTAATGTGTGCCTTACTGTAATCCATGGTTGTTTCCTTTCTCTTTGCTGCTCTTCCTTTTAAATCCTCATGTCTTCGCATGCTTGGGGAGAACTTCCCCTTTCAGCTTAGGGCCTCTTCCTGTAGTGCTGGCTCAGGTTACAAGCCTATACAAACCTATACGCAGACACTGTGTATCCATTCCTGAGACAAGGCAGTCTGCTGCAAAACAGAAGTTCTGCAGAGCATGAGAAAAGATACAGATTTAAAAGGAAGAGCAGCAAAGAGAAGGGAAACAACCATGGATTACAGTAAGGCACACATTACAGTATTGTTTTATGTTAAAAATTCCGAGGGTTTAATGTCACTTTAATAGCTTGTGTAGTAAATAGTATTATCTGATATTCAAAATATCAGATGAGCAGAATTTCATGAAAGCAGTCATTCCACTCTTCATGTATCACCTGCTAGTTCTGGTTCAGATTTGTGAAAACTTGGGCAAAGAAAAGCTGTGCTGTTGCCCATTTTATTTCATGTTTCATTTTCACACAGTAGGCTTGAGAATAACAGTTACAATATGGTTGGTTATAAAGGGCATCCAGGCATCTTTTTATTTGCCGCACTTTTTAGAAATCAGCCAAAGTATGTCTAAAATTATGTATTAATTATTTTCTTTTATAAACCTATTATTTTTACATTAGTGTGGCCTTAGACACTTTATTTTTATGTTAGGGTGGTTAGACAAATGGTGACACATACAGTATGTCTGTCTTTAAGTCGTATGACTGTTGGGACTAATTATGATCTTTGACCAACAGTGATGAAAGCACCCTCTGCTCTACTGAACAAATTGTGTGATGAGATTTGTGATAAATCCCTCCTATCACAGGACATGTTCATTATTCTTCCAACATATTGGCCCTTACTAAGAGAAAGGCATCCCTGTTGCAAGTGTTATGCCCATGTGCTAACTCTGCAGAGGTTCATCTTCCCTCTTTTTCCTCCAAGCCACACAACCAATGTCAGCATAATGTGAAGCTTTAATAATAAAAACAAACATGATCACTTTCAGTTTTTCTTCCTCCTCTGATGCATTTCCCCAAAAAGCTAGGCTAAATGATAGAGGCAAGGGAGACAGGAAGGGGTAACAAATTCACACAGATCTGTCTTTTATAGGTGCAGCAATCAAAGAACAGGGTTTCACAACAAGATCAATTACAAGTGCAACTAAATGCAATAGACACGTAGAGACTCTTTATTAAAATACAGATGCAAAATGAGCATACATTTCCTCAAATTCACAATATAATGCCTCGTATTATAAAATGAAAGGAAAAGGGGAAAGGAAGGAGAAAGAACGTTAAGGGTAAGGGAATGGGGGTGAATAAAAGGAAAGGGGTTAGTTATAAAATATATACCCCTCCCCCTTTCCTTCCTCGTATTTACTCAATTTCCACTTCTCTTCTTCTCTCTTCTTTTTCTCCTCGCCTTCTGCTGCCCATTTCTCAGTTATTTGTGACACATTTGAGTATAAATTATAGTGCTGGACATATCCCCAAGATTTAATACTAAGCTCATCTGATCCCAAACATTTGCTAACACCAGGACTGTTTTCTTCTTATTTTCAGCTAGTGGAACCAGCTAATTTTTTGTTACGTTAGTGATATTAGCATTCGCACTAACAGTTGGCGTATTCTTAAAGAGGAACTACATTTCAGATTGATTCTATAAGCAATTACAGGTCATTATCGAATTGTTCATTTTCTTGAGCAGTAAATTACAGCTAGGAAATACAAAATGTAGTTAGTTCTCTACTTGTGTTTACCAATAACAACTGGTTCTATACAAATGTAATTTTCAATAGGTCTTGTCACACGTGAACAGCAGGCAATGTAATTATTAGCTGTCCAGATCTAGTATCACATTTTAGTATATTTACATGAACTTTACATAACAGTTACCAAACAATCATGAGAACATTTTTAAGGTCAATAGTAAAATAGTTTAGGAAAGAAAGAATGTAATTGTAATATGCTATAAGATATATGATATGATAAATCCATTGGTATAATAGTAATGTGACCAGACAGCTAGTCTGGTGCGCAGCTGTGACAAGTGAGATAAATCAATAAGATGACCAACTGTTACTCATTCTATTCATTTTACATAACTCATTTAGTGCTGCAAAGCCTGTCTCTGAGCGCTGAATACAGGTAATGACATTACCCCACACAACCCCTGTGCACTGTGATTATCTAGCACACAATACTATACCATTCCTAACACATCAGTCAACATAAAAATGTGGTTGAACACTTCTATCCAAAATGCTGTGCTTCAATCAAATGGTAGCTTTTCCACTTTATCAAAAAAACTAAATAATTACAGTATACCAATGCAGTAGAAGAGCAAAGTTTCCTTTAAGATGAGCCCCAGACTCATGTAAAAGGCACAAATTAATGCTGCTCTATATATTTCTTTATATTTAAATGTATTTATTTAATGCAAGCAGAGTAAGTACCTGAATTTTACATGGTATCAGCCTCCTGTAGTCCCTGCACAGCAGAACTCAGGCTGGGCAAGGGATAAGCAGCACACAAAGCAGTCAGTTCTGCTGCAGTGCTCATGTGCTAACAGGGGACACACATTAAAGATATCTGAACTTAAGAAAAAAAATGTTAAAAAAAAATACATCTTTACATCTGACACTTCCCTGCCACTACTGCAGGACAAAATGGTGACATAGGGGGCGGCCAATGAAACCACAATGTGCAGAGGGGGAAGCAGGCATCCGACTGTGGCTTTGTGTGCTGCTTATCCCTTGCCCAGCCTGAGTTCTGCTGTGCAGGGACTAAAGGAGGCTGATCTAAGGAATAGGTGGCGGGACAGGTGAGTATTAATGCTCAAATATACATTAGTTTGTAGTGTTTATTTAAAAAAATCAACAATGTCAGTTTTAGGCCCCGTTCACATATAGCGACATACCTTTTGCAGCGGATCCGCACGGCCGGGATAGCGCGACTTTCGGGGCGACGTTCCAGCGACGGTAGCGCGACCTTCCCCGTCGGGCTCCATAGAAAAAAAGTAAAATCGCGCAAAATCCGCCGAAAAAAGGGTCCGGTAGAAGCGACTTGCGACCGCGACGAGCGACATGGAGTTAAGACAGCTCCATTGAATAACATTGGCCGGCGACTTCTCGCGATATCGCGCGGCAAAAATGCGCGATATCGCGGCGGAAATCGCGCGACAATTCGCTATATGTGAACGGGGCCTAAGTGATCAGTTCCAGCAGGATCATCTTTGTTTCTTCTGTTTGGTTTTTTTATTTGTCTGGATTGTAACTATTGTGTATAACTTTAATTTTTACTTTTCAGAAACGTTTGTGGGGAAAGAAACTTTTCTTTCATGACAAACGTCTAAGGACAGCTAGCTCAACCTAATTCGCTTGCACAGTCATGATTATTGGGTGTATAAATACATACAGTGAGGGGATTTATCAAGACTGGATAAGACAGAATCTGAAGCAGTTGCCCATAGCAACCAATCATTTTGTTTCTTTCATTTTTATTCCTTAAGGATCATCTTTGTTTCTTCAGTTTTTTTTTTTATTTGTCTGGTTTGTAACTATTATGTATAACTTCAATTTTTACTTTTCAGAAACTTTTCTTTTCCCACAAACTTCTAAGGACAGAGGGCTCAACCCAATTCCCTTGCACAGTCATGACGATTGGTGGGTCTATAAATACATACAATGAAGGGATTTATCAAAACTGGAGACAGAATCTGAAGCAGTTGCCGATAGCAACCAATCATCTTGTTTCTTTCTTTTTCAAAGCTTAACTGAAAAAACTGATAAGAGAAGCTGATTGGTTACTATGGGCAACTGCTCCAGGTAGTGTCTGCTCCAGTTTTGATACAATCCCAACAGTGGGTGGTGGGACTAAAATAAGGGTGGTTCCTAAACCATATGAAAAAAGAAAACCATGGGCAGTGTCTATCTTTTACTATCATCCTTTTTAGTACCATATCTGCTGCCAAAAGTCAGATTCTTAAAGTATTTAGGCCTGTATGTATACATATATGTTTTAAACTGAAGAGTGTAGTTTGTCTAAATGTTTTAATGCCACAATCCAGACTGGCTACATACTAAACCTTATTAAATTATGGGTTTGCATAAGTCTGTTATATGAAATACACCCACGTCACGCTCAACAAATACATATTTTAATATTTAATCTGTAGGAAAAGTAACAAAAAGAATAGCATTTCATTTGGTGGAGCCGCTTATTGCTTCACCTGGATGTTATTTCATTACCGTTGCACAGTGTATATTGGAAGTAAGCGATGGCACTGCAATATTGCTTAATGCAGCGGTGTTGCCAGAACAAAAAAATGACACTGCCTCAATGCTATGCATACATAAGCTTCCTAGCAGACCTCTCGTGCATATAAAACAAAAATATTCCCCTATGAGATGTTAAAATACACGCACCCCTTACTCTCCTTGATTCTTCTTTTAAAGGATTAGAAAGCGCACAGTTTGATGCCAGGCTTTTCTTTTTAACTATAGTTTATGATCTACTACTTATCTTGCTATAAGACTAAAGCTGATATGTGCTAAACTGTAGTAATGTTTCAAACTCAAAGATGAAACAATTTAGAATCCTCGCCTGAGGCTCTCGTTGCTTCAGCTCCTGCTGCTCTGTTTCCCAGAATTCCCTCTTTTACCTGCTCGTTGGGCTGCCTCAGCCCTGGTCAGGAAGTGTTGAAGTTGATCCAGTTTCTCGTGCTGCTCCTCCAAGGGTTTTTGTTGCCATATGGCTGACCCAGGCCCTCCAGCATCCCTCAAGGCATTCCACTTCTGGATCAGAGCAAAGAGTTCTGAGAAAGACTTGTGATAGCCTTGGCGCAGCATTTTTATGCAGATGCTGTGCTTGAACGAATTCTGATAGCTGCGTAGTGAAAAAGAGGGAAACAAATAATTCAATAGCTTCATAATTACAATAGGCGATGTGGTTAGAACATGTATCGCATTACCTTTTACTGTTAATTTCATTTTAACAATGTCTCTAATGTTCCACATCTCGCTGTGCAGAATATATAGGCTGTAATCAAGTGTCTTGTTATACATCTGTCTTTAGCCTGCTGTTTACAGGTTGGTTAGAACACACTGAGAGAGCTATACTGACACCTCACAGAGCAACGCACTACAACAGAAGTACAGTATTGTCATCCTAGCTTTCTATCAGTACTCCAGGACATATCTGTATGAAGCTCTGGTGACTCCAGCAGGCCACTGCATGTCAACAAAACATTTCTCACCTCAGCTTAAATTCCTTTAAAAAAAAACTATTTACGAAGTGAGTTATTTACTAGTGGATAATTGTTAATATCCTATGGACAGGAAGGGCTGTCGTGAATAGCAATATTGTGTTTGCCATGGAGACTCATTGTTCTATTCTTACTAAGGTGAAAGATCAGGACAGAAATCATGAAGCTATCAATAAAAAGCTTATGTTGACAGTGCAAGCTACTGAGAGTCATCCTTATCCATGCTTTCCTATTGATTGCATTACTGACCAGAAGGACATATGCAGCCAAAGACTTTGAGCCAAAAGAACTCCAAACCAACATGCATCTTGTGGGTCAGTGGTTCATTAAGCAGTAAAACAAGGATAAGAGAGCCGTGATGCATGCACAATCAAAAACAAGTTAGATTTCCTATTTCATGGTAATCGTATAACCTGTGTTGAAAGATTTTTTTTAAAAGGGGGATAGAGGGATTTCCTCTCACTTCCTGTTTTGTCTATGATCTAAGTGATGGAAAGTCTCACCAATGGGACAAGAGCAGCAAAGGAAAACTAAACAGGGGTTTTACTGTAAGTGTGTATCTTAATACTTTATATTGAAAGTGTTTAACTTAAAATGCTAATTCATATTTCTGAAGTACAAGGATCTCCAGCATTAGTTGAAAAGCTTATGATGTGGTGCACTTTGGGAGCAGTTATAGACTTGCAATGTAGTAATTCTGGCATTTGTTACAAGGACCAGGATAGTATATTTGTGTCTTGGATGAATTGCTGGGAGCCAATTAATACTGTTTTAAAGAAGAACTCCAATATTTCTTATTAACTTTTGCAGTGGGCACCAAAAGGGTTAGGAGCTAGTTTTTGTCTAGTTTAAAAAAAAAAGTTCTACTAAACCGATGCTCTGAGCCGGCTTCTTCTTAGACTGGTCCTTTCAGGGTCTCTCCCCCTTCTCTGCAGTGGTCTAAGCTCCTGTAAATCATCATGTTCTATATACTGTGTATAAACGTGAGGATGCTGAGGAAGATTCCAATGCTGCTGTGGAGGGGGAGAGAGGCTGGAGGGAGCATTGTGACAGCTGCCTGGCTCGGAGCTTCAGATGAGTTTAACTTTATTATTTTCCTCCCAAGACACAAACGAGCACTTTACCCTTGCAGTGTGGGGTAGCCCCACTGCAAGGGTTCATAAAAATTTTTTCCTGGAGTTTTTCTTTAATACAGCAGCAAGGAACTAGTTTAAAAGGAACTAGTTTAAAAGGAACTAGTTTAACCCCTTAGGCACTAGCCCAAATTAGAAATAACAATGGGGTGGGGGGATGGTGGCAGGGTCCTAATCTTGTGATCACTGTGACATCCAATCACAGCAACCACATGATCGTGAGCTCATCCCCAGCTCCCAATCGTAACTATGTAAATAGTGACTGTGAGCTGTCAGTGACAGCGACTCAGTCTTTCAGCACAGAACAGTGGACACACACTGTGTATGCAGTAGCTGAGCATTAAAACCAATCTTCCTGCGGCAGCATTTATGTGTAAGGCTGTCAAGAAGTAGTTAAGTTCCTGAATTTGACTTGGCATCAGTCTCTTGCAATCATTGCAATCCTTGGTACAGCAGAACTCAGACTGACAGAGGGAGAAGCAGTATGCGTGTTCTGTAGATAAATGCTCTGTTAGAAGGAGAAAGAGATCAGTGAACATGAAAGGCATGTTCACGGATTTTCTTCTCAGCATCTTCAAAGTGCTAGTGATAGGAGTGGTGTTTAGACAGGAAGCTGGTTTTATCACTGGCAGTGATTTGCAGAGGAAGGCAGCAGCAGAGAAATCATGAGGGCAGTCGATCACAGTGGGGGTGGGGGGCAGTAGAGAAGGCATCTGAAGATTGGTCAAGGCATTTAATAATCGGCTAACTAATCGATTTTGAAAATAATCGTTAGCTGCAGCTCTAATTTGGGGACCAGGTGAGGCATCGCGGGAACGGTAAAGGCATTGAAGAAGGGAGGACACATCGTGGGAACCAAGAAAGAAAAGAATGGGGCTGCAGAAGGGAGACAGTGGAGAAGATGCCAACTTTTTTAATGAAAGGTAGTGATGTCAGTTGCCTATGACAGCCATTCATGAATCTGCAGAGTCTCAACTATACCTCTGCTATAAGCTCATGGTTGATGTAGCAACCATGTGCTTTTAGACTAAGGGATATGGAGCAGACGTAAGGGTTACTGAGCCAGCCTGCTGCAAGCTCTGACATAAACCTTATGTCTGTGCCAGTAAAAGTGTCAAAAACGTCACTACTGGATCAAATAAATGTTTTAGCTTCACGTACACCTTAGGTCTCAAAAAAGGTTTGTATGGACTACCAAATTATTTCAGTATTACAGGTTTACCATGTATGGGAGCATCTGGTCATATACACAAATATGGGGTAATAAAAGAGGAAATAAACTTTGATGCTTGTCATCAAAACAAGTATATTGGATCTAAAATCTGTCAATGTAAAATGATAAAAAGCCAGTCAAACAGGCAGAAACATACCAGTCTGCAACAATTTTGATTATCGCTAAATCTTTTTTTATTTCTACACATTTTCTCATGGAAAAACAAAGTATTTGGTTTTCAAAGGGTCCACAGAAAGAACTATTTGTGTTCCTTACAAATACCCCTTTATAACAATTGGGCTGTTACCTAAAACATGCACAATTTAGGTAGTAGCTAGTGATAAGCTGAGCTATATTTTAATCAGTTGTGAACACTGGACGTGCTAAAAAAGTTCCACCAAAGTACTCAAGGCATATGCAGTACGTCCTGTTCTTCTGCTCCGTTGCCTTACTAGAGAGATACAAAGTAACACTGTTACTTTCGTATTTATCTCTTTCATTTATCTGCAGATCAAAGGGATTTGCTTATTTTTACATATGATGTCAATTACAGCAACCTAACAAGTAAAAAAGAATAGTTTAAAAAAATAAAGTTTTGGTTCTATTTGACCCCTTATTAACACTTTGTTCAGCCCTAATTAACTCCTTCTTCCCCTTCTCCCCCGATATACTGTATAGATTGTTCATTCATTTTTATTTGCTTTGTTCATTACATTTTTTTTAGCGTTGCTAAAAATTCCCCACAACATTGAAAAACCCCATTATTTTATTTATAAATATTAGGGATGCATAGAAATTTCGGACGCCGAAAGTGTCATCTTTCGGCCGAATTTGCGGTGCATCCTTAGTTTCTCTCCTCCCTGCTGTGCGCTGTTCTTTGTCTCCACTGACACAGAGCAGAGTCCTGCGGGGTGGAGAGAAACTGTCAGGAAACGAGCAGGGCAAGGAGAAGAGCACCGTGAGCGTGTCACAGGAGGCTGACCTCTCCTCCTGCACCGCTCAGCCTACTATATGACTTACTATGTACCAGTTATGAATGAATGGGAAGTGATTTACATCACTTCCTATTCATTCATGATTGTGGACATTAGGGATGCACCGATACTAGTATCGGTATCGGTGCCGATACCGAGTATTTGGGTGAGTACTCGTACTCGCCCAAATGCTCCGATACCTTGCACGAGTACTTCCTGTATCAGGAAGCCGGGCAGCGCATCATTACATGCTGCCCGGTTTCCTGATTGGCCAGGAAATGACTCCATGCTCTCTCGTCAGGAAGCCGGGTAGCGTGCAATGACGCGCTGCCCGGCTTCCCGATTGGTCAGGAAGCTAGCAAATCCGGAAGCCGGGCGCCGTGTAATGACGCAGCGCCCGGCATTCTGATTGGCCGGGAAGCCGGCGTCATGCTCCCTCGTCATCTCATGAATCATAATATTAAGAAAGTGACCTTAAAGCATTAGTTTGTATTGCTTTAGAAAAAATGTGACCTGTCCCTTTAAGAAAAAGTATCGGTAATTGGCATCTGCGAGTTCTTGATCAAAAGTATCGGTACTCGTACTCGGTCTTAAAAAAGTGGTATCGGTGCATCCCTAGTGGACATTGTAACTCACTGTCGCCACAAGTTATGAATGAACAGGAACACTCAGTACAGTACAGAGGATTCATGTTCATTCAGTGCTGGGGCTGCAGAAAAAGATTGAGGACTCTGTGTCCTCAATCTCTTTTTCTATTGTAGAAGAGAAATATCAGGAGTCTGTTTAGACCCCTGATATTTCACTGATGCCCCCAGCAGTAAAGTTAAAAAAATAAAAACATTTAATAAAAATAAATAAATAAAATTTAACAAAATTAAAAAGTAAAAAAAAAATGAATAAAAATTAAATATTTAAAAAATTTTTAAAAGGTTAAAAAAAAACCTGACATTTTTTTATTTTTGGTTTTTCGGTCTCAAAATTTCATTTCAGTGCACCTCTAGTAAATGTATTTGCACTGCTTTGACACAGCATCATAATTTTATTATTATTTTATAAAGGAAAAATTAGAGAATAAGATGTATACTATCCTATCTACATCAATGCTATTTTTATAAAAACATACTGATCAAAGCAGAAGTTCTTTGTCTATGGGTTGCATCAAAAAATACAATAGTTTTTCAAGACAATATAACCAAAAGAAAGTTTGTCCTAAAACGATATATCCGTTACTTTGTTATCTTAAATAGGAACTTTACCCATATCTTTAAAATAAAAACAAAGGCACCTTTAGAAATGTTTAG